TACACTTAAAAATAAACAAGTATTGGTGAGAATCCAAGATAAACTTTCCTTCGTACACTTCCACATAAAATAGCATTGTGAGATATGAGGGTCATATGGCAGTAAAGACATCACTGCAGTTTTGTGGGTTCTGTTGTTGTAAGGACTTGGAAGTGGATACAGATGTTTCAGGAAAAATACTGAACCCCTAAAGATAGAGAGAGTATGTTTCTCTGAAATGATGATATACAAGTCCACACAGCATCACAAACCCAAATAACACTTACAAGGCAAACACTGTTATTTATATGAGGTGTTAATGTGGTGTGAACTCAGATTTTGGTCTACATGGCAACAGTACCACAACTAAGAAGACCAAAATCTGAATTGTACAATATTTATTCACAGAAGAGTATTATCTCAAATTTCACACAAGTGCAGGTGGAGAAGTGATATTAAGTTAAACTAAGTTAAAATTAATAGTAAAATTATTTTACAAGATGAATCACACAACCTACAGTCAAATTTGAAATAATGGATAGATGAGTTTGGCCCCATATGAGTTGTGATTCCTTCTTTGTGCCCAGTTACTTGATGCAGGAAGCTGTGTAGATATAATTTGCCTTGCAAACATACAGTTTCCTCTTGTTTTTCTGATAAACAGCAGTTATGCCTCCTTATAATAATAATAATAATAATATAGGGGCAACAGGAACTGTCTCCAGGTCGCTCAGGAAATATTTGGCCAACATCCCAGGCGAACACGACGTCAGGGAACTTCAGAAAACTGCAATTTTGGGAACGTCATACATCATTCGAAAGACGCCGTCGTAAAATAAAATAATATAATACATGTAATACATATTAAAAACAAAATGTATCCCAGAAATAGCTGCTGCCCTATGTACCTTAGGGACAAGGTCTGTCTCGGGTACATAGAAGTACATACACCATAAAGTGGTGAAGAGATGGGATAATAATAATAATTGCGTGAACAACCTGTGTCCAAATCCTCCACTTTTCTTGTTGCCTGGTATTCTGTTCTGCTTGACATCTGCATTGTTATGTCATATTATGAACAACATCCACTACAAAGCTACTATAATTTCATCCAAACACACACACAAACATTGCTTTTTTGGGATGTACTACCAAAATACAATACAGTTTCATGCAGTGGTAATATGTTGGATATTCTTGAGGTATATGAAAGCATATATACTTCCCAAAACCTCTAATTAGCCATACTTGTCCTGTTGGGTGGTTCATGTTCTATTTAATGCTGAATAGGGAAATTTTTGAGTGATGCATTGGCAAGGATGTATAAGGAAGTGATAGTGGCCTCATTTAAGGTAATGTCCAAGTGTTTGCCTGGGATGACTAAGGAACACAAAAAGAATTCTCAGTGAAGATATCCATCCTCCGGGTAGATTTTAACCTCAGACCTCCAGAATACCAAGCAGGAGTGATAACATCTCTACTACAAAGTCAATAAATTATTTTTTGAAAAGTTTGTCTGTAAACAGTCAAAAAATTGTAAAATGGTGAAACACTTCATTTGATGTAACATGTGGCATGAGGTACACACCATTGTTTAAGGTACTATAAAAAACTTACAGAATTATTACATCCCTGCTTTCAGTTTTCCTATCACATGATGCTTTCTTTACTAAAACAATATTATCATTATTTTCATAGTTCTTCCATGTGAGTGTCAGGATAGTACTTCAGACCACACAACCACATCTTACCCCCTTCCTTTCCTGTTCACTAAACAAAATTATTGTGTCATCTCATTTGATGCTAAATAACTCTGCAGATAATATACCAATCAACCATTGTTATCTGACCCACTTCTGACTTACTGCATATCATAATAAACTTTCACTCTCACTCAGTTCAGAGATGCTGAAACAGCTTGAGAGCTTCAAACAGGCCATCACCACTTCCTTCTCAATCCTTTCCACCAAAATCCACAATCACCTACTAATCTCATTTAATGCAGACACAGATCTGCAGTCATCAAAGAAATGCAAAGCAAACCTACGAAGAATTCATTAACAGTTTTTTGTCTCTACATGCTGTTAAATCCTACAGTATCTAATACTTTTCTCACACTTACAATCCCACCAATGGAATGTTGATCAAGCAATGTGTGTGTGCTTCCTAGACATTAGAAAGCATATTTTTATCCACAGTGTAACTCGGAACTTTAATCTTCAGTAGAGTCCGTTGAACAAATCTGTGGAACTTGTTAATAAAACTTTGCAAATCCATCTTACTCTGATTCTTGCTATAAATGTTCAGATAAATACCAGCCACAATGATCAAACCAGACCATAAATACCTGCAACATAACAACAATTTGTTACGGCTTTAACTAGCAGAAAACACTGCCACACTCTTTTATGTGCCAATAAACCAATTAAGCTGATGAATTAGATCCTGCTATGCCTGCTAAATTCCAATCTGTTTGAAACTTAGAGATCAGTTTTGTATTGTGCGTAATATACATGTATTTTAACAGATCACAGAACCATGTGAAACACTTTATTTTCAACACTCTTGAGCACAAAGGTATATCCTATATTATTCAGGAAAAAAGGTAACCAATAAATTGAGCAACAAAAGGATTAATAAAATGGATTCTCTGCAAATATAAAACTCTTTGGAGTAGATTTCTAGTATACTTACACTAATTAATTGTCACTGTAGAATTATACCATAATACCACCATATACCACTGAAAGACATTAAATAACATCACTCTTTATTATGCTACCCAGAACCAAACTAATATTTGCATCATACAATGTCCCAACCCAAACTCTCTTTTGCACAACCCCACCACTTCTGTATGCCAACTGAATTGCATTCTACCATTTACTTCACTCTAATCCATGACATAAACCAGTAACTCACAAGTGTGGACACCACTTGTTTTCATAAATAATAAAGATAAATCAGATGAAAGCACACTCAAGATATTATCAACTTTCATTACAATCTTGGGATTTTTTCTGAATACCCTGAACAAACTCAGTACCTAAATGTCTTCACACTTGCAATGACTGACCCTCCACATATATGTGGAAGCATCAGCAACAAAAAGTTATTTAAAACTGAATGCAATACTGGTTGTTTTTATGAGTATACAAGATTTAAGTTGTTATAAAATGTTGGGACTTTTCATTATTCAAATGTTTCTACAAAACCACTGACTGAAGATCCTTACATATTATGAAATAGTCTCATCACAATGTTATTTAAAACTGAATGAAACAATCAGCTGCTTTTGCAAATAATAGTCAGACCAGATCCAAAGGGTTTTTAAGTATTATTCTAACACTGGTATTTCCCTTTTTCTACACACCATGAAGGAATTCCATCAACAATGCCCCAATTTTAATATTCTGTCTCTTAGCAGTTTTATATGAAACTTAACACTATATAATTCCACTCTATCCTACTCCATACTGCACTATCATATATCAACAACCATCCTATTTGACTAACTGCACCATACTCTAAACCCTAACTAACTAACTAGATGGCTTACAGAACCCGAAGGTTCATCACCAAATTAACCAAAGCCCTCAACTGGTCCTTGTTTAAACTCTAAACTTCATAAATCTCACATTTTCAATCCAAATATGTACCAACAGTGTCGACAGTAAATGTGTTGATACCTTCCATGCTACATACAAGACAGCTCACTTAAAAGTGATGGCCTTTGTGATCTGAATTAATTAGTGTTTGAAAGTTCATTAATGCAAGCAAGTCACAGATCTTTCATCAGTTAAAGCTAAATATCAATGGATTTTAAATCATAAAAAATATACCTTACCATAGAAATACATAACAATACAAAGTTTCTTTAAATAAACTCGACATGGAAAGTTAATGAAAGTATTCAGGCTCAAACTTACTGGAATGTAAAAGGCTTGGAGAAGAACATGAAGGAGATGATGATAGAGACAGCTTTGCGACACGTGGTGACTGTTGCAGCTGTGAAGGCCCCACAGGTCTTCACAAGAGTCAAAACAATTTGTATCCCTAGGTACCCTGACACTGAAAAGATCAGTCCGTACCCGTAAGTCTCCAACAAATGCTGCAAACCAGATTGTAAACTCAACTAATAAATTGGTCATAATCAATAATCTGCTCATGGTGCAACACATTCACACACAAGCATTCTAATGTTCACTTTCAATTCAATCATGTGTCAATCAAAACATACAGATTATAATCCAATTTGTTATTTTTATCTGTATTGGGATTATTAACATTCAGTTCATAATCATTTATCTTCCCATTTCCTATCCAAAACTTTAAAGACTACAATATTAAAAATTATAACTTTACCTACTATTTTATATGATTGTCAAACTTGATTTCTCTCTCTAAGGAAACAACAAAAATGGAGGGTGCTTGGGAATAAAGTGTTGAGGAAAATATTTTTACCTAAAGAGTAAATAACACAAGGATAGAGAAATAATAAGGCACTTCATAATTTGAACTCTTCACATAACACTAGCCTTTATTCCTATCACTCTTTTCCAGAGCATAGGGTCCCCTTTTGGTGGTTTCCTTGGTATTTTGATGTGTGCGTTTGTGAGTAGTGAGTGACCAGCCCACTGACTACACACAATTTCTACTCAATCCTGATTTTTTACTGCCAAAGCTATCTAGTAGTAAATCAGGAGAGACTTGGATGAGAAATGGCCACTGAATCAAAAAGTAATGTTACAATGCTCAATGCCATACTATAAACATTACCAACTTATCACCGCAGCAACGTCGTGTTGGCTAAACCCACCATGGAGCAGAATGCCATTCCTCTGCCAAGGTCACCAGTGACAAACATGATGAGGAACAGATACACAAATCCAATGGAGTACGAGTACAGGACAACCTCAGTGTTCGTTGCTTTGTATGCTTTCATCGACTTCTCCTGAACATTGCCGATTGCTGCATCACACAGCAATGCACTTGAAATCATCATTACACCTGCAAACACACAAATTACTGGATTCATTACTGCAATATACTTAGATCTTATACACAGGTATCCCCAAAAGACGTACGCGCACGCGCGCGCACACACACACCCAGCTGTAATCTGTTGACTGACTTACTGTATATATGTCCAGCTCAGACAAGTCTGGTTCACATCCTCTCATGTTGGAACCCCATGCTATATTCAGAGTGGGTTTACTACCCCAAAGTCTCAAATTTCTGTCAAATCATCAACAGATTTGTAACTAGCAAACTTCATGGCTTAGGGTTCAGTCTGTCAAGAAATTTCCTGGTTTTAAGGAACTCAAAGGCTCATTACAAGTACCAAGTTTACAATGGCCAACCATTCTACATTTCCCTGAGCTAATTCAAGCTAGTCCATGCCTTCACACCCTATTTCTCTAACAACCATTTTTATATTACCCCCTTACTCATATATTGGACTCTCACGTGGCCTATTCCCTTCAGGTTTCTTGGCCAATATTTTATATGCATTTCTCATTTCCTCAACCCCTTATTAATCATCTTTTTTTAGTTAATCTTCCTAACAATAATACATGAAAGGTATAAATCATGTAGCTCTTCAATACACAATTCTGTCTATCCTCCTATTATATCCAAATATTCTTCTCAGTACTAAGTTCTCAGACAATTTGTGTTCTTCCCTTAAAGTGATGGACCAAATCAAAAGGATTTTACCTGTACAATTACTTTTAAATTAGGTATTAATTACTGATGCAACAAATATTTATATGAACAGCATAGTTGATTTCTAACCTAAGATTTTATTTTTTTAAAAATACATGCTGAAATTAAATCCCAGATTATCAGCTGGTTAGAACACTCAAAAAACAAAGGAAGTGGGGATGACATACCTATTGTACTGAAGTTTGGTGACACATGACTGTCAGCAAGAGTGAAGAGGGTCAGTCCCAGACACATGCAGCCCGCAGCCAGGAAATCAAGCCTGCCATAATGCTTCTGCTGTATCAGGATGCCCCCTACAAGCACTGGAATGAGTTTGCAGCACTTGAAGATCACCTGTGTGGGGTAATTAAGATGACCCAGTGAAGAGTTGGAGAATCCCATAGTGCCAAGCGTCAAGAGAGCTAGCAGCAGATAGGTTTTCAAAGGAATCCTGCACACACAAAACAAATTATTAAGTCCTAGATCAACAATGCCATTTCAACAACAGAGGTCACATGGCATTGATTAAGATGAAAAAATATTATGAATGGTGAGTAAGAATTTGGAAGGAGGCAATCATGGTCCACTTCAAGGTATGATCTTGGCATTTTATTTAGAAACTGGGTAAAATCATAGATAACCTCAATCAGGATAGCTGGTAACCCATGAAAGGTACATACTTAGTAAAAATGTAGATCACTTCAATAACAATACAGTTATGTGGTAAATGTTATCCAATTACATGCTGCAATTCAATTTCTGAACTGCATCTCAAATTAGATCTACTGCTATCTTGACTTATCTAATATACTAGAAACTAGTATTCCTACTATAATAGCATATCTACGTAAAGTTTAGATGGCTAAACTCCAAATAAAAATAAAAAGTAAAAAAACTACAAAACACTGACTAGCTATTAATACTTAGTTCTTGTCCTGCCAGATTGGGTTAGGTTAATTTTAGTTTATGTTATGGTTGTGTCAGGACTACAAAGCATAACTTAAAAACACATTTTCTAAGAAGTTTGGTGGTAGATAATGTAATATGGGTATATGCTACAGAAACTCAATTACATGGTAAAGTCATTTCCAATTTGCTACTGTTCATAAGATTTTCTACATCAGTGACTGAATCAATGCAACTTACATTCTTGATGATACCTTCTTTCCCATCATCTCAACATATCCAAACAACGAATAGTATGCAAACTGGACCAGTGTTAGATACCATCCAAATGGCTTGAACCCCTCAAGAGTAAAAATTAATTCCTGTTAAGAAAATCAATATTCAATTACTAAATTAGACTTAAATCACAAGAGTTGGAAGACACATTAATTTGCTGGTTCCTCAACAGTCCTAATATTTATATCTCCCATTACACCAACCAAAAGTGGCAACTTAGTAGTTTTCAGAATATCTGTATTCCTCTTAAACATATCATAATGAGTTATTCCATTATATAATATTATATAATACTAGTTGAATATTATCTCACACAATGTCTAATACAACAATGCAGAGAACTGAAAGCCCCCTAGAGATAATTACTGTACCTGCATATAGCCATACATCAAGTAAAACACAAAAACGCCAGTGCTGCATATTAGAAATTGAGGTACTGGTCTAAAATCGCTGATATCGTAAAATAATATTTTAACTTCCGAATTTATTTTCTCGTTCTTATCGATATTTGCATCCCCAACGTGTACCTTCACATCCAAATTATTAAGATTCATTTCCTTAATTTGTCTAACATACACTTAAAACCCGTAATTCTAAGAATTTGACAAGTCAATTAATAACATAGGCATTATCACCGCCACATCAACCTCATGTTTTGATCATGAAACCTTCTAATGCCAACACAACACTAATAACACATCATCATGTTCCTGGGCAAAGATTAAAACAGAGACATCTATCAATCCTACTATACAGCACGTAAAACCATACGTATCCTAATAGTATAATAATATAAGTTCTTGTAGTAGTAGTTATTGTAAATCGTGATAAGATGTCTCCACGTATGTTACCAACTTTCCCTATATGAGGTAAAACAGAGTTGTCCAGATTCACCTACGAAAACAGCACACAGGTAATACCAGCAACAGATGATCTAGGTTGGTATTAACCAACACATGACCTGCTATAAATACATGTGAATACACTTGATTTCATAGCTGACTACAGGCAGTATCATAGTTTGTTTTAACAAACTCTGTACAGTCACTTACAGCAAAAGTCAAAAACATTTGCATAAAGTTTGTAAAAACCCACTCTATCTTAAGTATAATGTGAAGCTTTCATGGCAGATGTCATTAATAAAATCTCATGCTATCAGATGTCAAATAGTTAAAACTTGTCAACATATCAAAGACTGTCTCTGTCCTCATCCTCAGGGCTATTCATGATGAACAGATCTGCAGATGAGGATAGAGATGGTAAGTTTTAACCATTTGACTTGGCTGATAGCCAAAGAAGATTTTATTAATATATACATTATATGCAATTTTATCTCTCCATTAATAGTTGATCCATAATATTTACCTGGAAATTCCTTGCATCCTGTTGAATGACGAGCAGATCATACTTCCTCTAGAGCATAAACATGTGCGTTTTCCTTACTGTCAAAGAATGTGCTGCATTCAGCACGGCATGAACAACACATTCATACTGCAGTGCCAATGTACCTTCAGGGTTGTGGAAAAAAAAAATTGAACCCTTGATTCCTTAAACTGGAAAATAACTTCATGTCTCAAGAGCAAAGAGTTGAAAGATTATTTTAAGTTATAGTGATAATGTTGGTTGGAAAATTACTTTTAAATGCAAGAAATGGTTAATTACAACAGAAATCAGTTATAGGATGATTGTAACTACAAATTCATCCTGCAACAGAGTGAGAGGTAAATGGGATAGACAAAATAAATACTTAAGTATGAAACAGTAATGATGATACCACATTAAGGCAGGCTATGTGTTGTTGAACTGTATGTTTGTTAATGACAGGCTCCTGCTCAACAAACTATATCAGCATTAAATTAGCTAGCAATTTTGTTATGTAATTTACATACAGATCAGGACTTTTCAGTGTAAGTGCTTATAAAGTTGGCAAATTTGCTTTGAAAATACATATATCATATTCATAAAAAACATACATGTCAGCTCTAGATGCCAGAGTGCTCAATATGCAATTCAAAGTCAGCCAATGATGGTGCATAAAGATCATACTTATATGAGATTTCAGTTTCTCACAGCAAGGAGTATGCTGATGGCTGTCTTCTGGGATGTTGAACTAGGAAATCTGGTAGATATTAACCATTGTTTCAGAAGAGCTTGCTGCCTCCATCATCAGTGTTAAAATGTAAGCAGCAAGCTCCTTTGAAACATCTGTTAATTTTTACCAGACAACACAGTGCAACATCATAGATGATAGCCATCTTCATATTTTTCCCTTGCTATATCACTAATCAAATAAAGGTGACATACTAAACTTCTATTTTACTCCATTCTTTATTATAATTTAAAGGCCACTTAAAATTTAGGCTCCTTGCCTAATCTTCATATAATGGATGCATGGATTGATAGACAAACAAACAAAAGAATGGTTGAGCAGTGCTTAAAAAAAGAAATCACAAAAATATTGGAAAAGGATGGGACTTTGATTTGTACAGGAGCCTAGAAATTTTACAAGCATCCCATATAAAGGGCAAAGCTTCTATTTATATAAAAACAGTACAGTAACAGCAAACAAAATTCTTAAATCACAATATAAAATCACATATGATGGTTCATTTATTTCATTCATACCATGTAAAGGACAAAGTTTCTATTTATAGAAAAGTCAATATAGTAACAGCAAACAAAATTTTTAAATTACAATAGCAAATTACGTATGATGATTCATTTGTTTCACTCATAACTGTACATGTTGTGCTTCATATCTCCTGGGTTCAAAAACACAATAAATTAACATAAAAAAGAGCTGCCAACTTTACTAACTGACTAGCACAACACAGATGACACTCAACCTAACCAGTAAGTTTTTTTGTTAAAGTTAAAAGCCAACAGCATATCCTTATGTAAGTAAAATGCTTCACAGAAAGAAGTCTTCACATGTACACAATTGAACATATGCACTAACCTTAAGATAATGACTGATCCACATTACCTGCAACACATATCACGTGTCACCCACTTAACCAGGAAACAGAAACATAGTTTTTAACCATTGATGCATATGATTTCATAATGACTGGCAATGGTTCCCAGCTTTTTGTAAGTCCTGACATCTATATTCAGAATTTCAGATTTCTGAGACACATGGATATAAATATACAAGGGGAACAAATATAACTTTGGAAACGTCTATGACACCCAAATTGGGAGTTGCTGCCCTAGATAATAAGGTTTTCTTACAGTCTCATAATTTTAATAAACATGATCAAATCTAGTCCACAAAACATCTGACAATTCATGGCATTCACTGTCTTCATCATATGATTTGTAATTGGTAAAAATGTCATAATGATTTAATCAGTAGTAGCATTCTCAGTTTCCTTCACAATGTTGTTGCAATGGCTCACTTTGTTTATTTGTTTCATAAACAGAAAATCTGAAGTGCATAAAACCTCAGTTTATTTCTGTGCAATAACCAAAGAAAGAGACACTTAGCGGGTGTTCCACTCTCATTCACACAAAAAAATTATGTAAATAAGTACCTATCAAACATAAAATGGAGTACATTCCTAAAAATGCATCAACATACCTTACAGACTAATTAGCAAACACCATGGAACAGGGCCTCTCTTGAGAAGCTAACAGTTGCTCAGCTAGTTGAGAATTCCCTGTGTTTTGTGAAATTCAAAGGTTCATTACAATATGCATGACAGCTTGCTACCTGTCCCTATCCTGAATCAGATGTATCCTATCCACATAATCCCACCCTGTTTTCAATATATTTTGTAATATTATCATCCCATCTATACCTTGGTCTCCCAAGTGGTCTTTTCTCTTGAGGCTTTCTAACCAATAAGTACTATTTACCCTGTTCATCTCATCTTCCTTTATTTGGTAAAGCATACACATTAAGAAGCTCCACATTATGCAATTTTCTCCTGCCTCCTCTCACTTCCTCCCTCTTAAATTCAAATATTTTCCTCAGCACTGTTCTCACACAGCCTCAATCTACGTTCTTCCCTCAATGAGACAGATCAAATTTCACATCCATACAAGACAATAAGTAAAAATTATAGTTTGTTACATTTTAATCTTTAGAGTTCTAGGTAAAAGATGGGAAGTTACTAGTTTCTCAGTGGATCCTGGAATCCACCTGTACCTGAAACTTCATCACAGGCATCACAGAAATGACCTGTTTATCATATCATCACAGGAAATGGAAAAAGAGGCAAGAGCTGTTCATAAGTTTGTGATTCCAGAGTTAAGAATGTAAAGAAGCCAACTGTGTTGATCATAATAACTATCAGGATACTGTCCGCTGAATAATCAAACAAGACATACATTTCAGACACTGGTTCTGGCTCATTTCTCAGGTGGAAGGATTAGGTCCCAACTTTGGGGGTCCATTAAAAAAAAGGTAGTCCTTATTAGCAGACTTTGACATTTCATAAGTTTGGCCTCTGTAAATAAACCAACAAAGAAAGGCACAGGTCCTTAAAAATAAACAGGGCATGCAAGAAATCAGGATTAAAGGTAAGAAAAGTAGACAAACAAACAAAGAGCAGGGGATAAAAAGGGGAAAAAAGAAACAAATATGGGGAAAAAATGCCTGCTGCAAAATTTTCTGTCACAGAGAGTATAAACCCCTTCCTTTAACATGGTAAAAGATATAAAGCAGTAACCTTTTCTTACACTTGTATTCAAACAAAGGCCAGCTGTAACCTTCAACATAAGAGCACTGAACTGTGTAGCTATTAAGAATGGTGAAGTCGCATACAACAAATTCTGTTGAATAAATACTTTTGCTTCTCCCAAATAACCATTTACCTTCATTAGATGTTCTTCTCTATGTCAACATCTGTGACATAAAATACCTTACAACCTCTTTAACAAAAGTATTCTAGCATATTGCCAGAAAGAGCACATAATGGTGTACAACATAAAAATACCTGTCACAGAGAGAAGAACTTTAGGAAGGCTTGTGGCGGTATGGGCACATGCAGCGAGCTCTTGTCCACATTTTCCAGCTTCTCCTGGAACTCTGGATCTTGATCTGCAATGCAAGGGTGTCCAATGGATTTCCAAAATAGGCAGCGACAGTTGCGGCATAGTTGGATCATCTCTGCATATTCTTCACGCAGACCAAATGACCTGTGGACCATGTAGGTCTTTAGAACTTGACCTGTATGCAACAGTCATGTCTGACACCTTCAGTACCTTCTGAACCACTGCAATAATTTCATAAAACCCAGTGTAAGAGTCATCTCCTAAAAGTCACCCATATACTTTGTACTTTAAATGTTTCTTTGTACATCCAATGATAGTGATTTTTGAGTATGACCACCAGATGATTCTATGAATTATATGAGGGATCAGAGGTAACAAGATTTAAGGTGTTTTCAAGTTTGGTTTTGAAACTGCTGACCTACCTCATCCCACCTACGTTCCAATTTCCTAAGCACTTTGTAATTATCATTAATGTTCCTCTTGAAGTAAGACGCCATGTTTAAGACACACATAAAACAACTGGCAAATTTTTGTTTTGTGTCACCTACCTTTAGTATTTTAAAAATCAATTGGCATAATAATTTTTTAAATGAATAATAACAGCATTTGGAAATGCTTCTTCTCCTTATTTCTTTATAAGACCTGATTCTATATGTCTGAACTGTTGTCAGGTATTTAAGTTTTTAAACATTTTTGAAAGAATGATTACATATAATTTTATTATATGGTACTGTTAAGTTAAGTTTTGTGACAAGATAATACATTTAGTTTCATCTAAATCTATTTTTAGACAAATTCCTTTGCTGGCCTGTAAGAGAATTTCTGCATTATTATCTTATAATATTTATATTCTCCCTTACAAATCAGCACAATCAAGTACCTACAAATATTAATATTGTGAGGCAAGTTTGTGTATAAATTCTTTGAGATTGAAGATATACATCATAAATACAAATGGTTTCCTCACTTGCGCAGTTTGTGGTAGATACGCTGCCAGTCTATCTGTGGTGAGCAGGACTGTAGCACAAAGTCAATCTGCTGAGGTGTGAAGTGGAAGCGGCACAGCTCCCGCCAAATGCGCTGTTCATCAACAAGATGTCGCATCACACTGTATGCCTTCCCACTGCTCTCAAGATCCTTGTGATCAGCAAGGCGGAGCAGAACCTCACGCACACACTCTTCAGGTAGGTTCTGAAGCTTTGGGAACACATCATCTCCTGGCTGCAACACATCAGCCACAATAACATTCAGGAGACAAAAGATTAACTTTTATAATGTAAACTTTTAATTGTACCTGAAGGAGACAGTTGCAGTGACAATTGAGTGTGACAAAATTATTACAGCTCCATGCTGTTCAAATTTAAAATAACATTTAATGTCATTCCTGTCCAAAATGACATCATTGTGGCAATAAGTGCAATTGACAAGTGAATTATTTGTTATTTTGATATACATTGCCATTTGAGGTCTGTTTTATTCACTCCCTTTATTACATTTGTCTAACTATAAACGAAAGTAATTCAGTTTCTGTTTGACAAAATGAAATGTTGGTAAAATTTAAAATGTCTTTTACCTCTCTAATCTGTATGTGATTTGCTATGGACAGTATGCGATTGATAGTGCGTAGATGCTGCTCCCATAGAAGGGTGCTGCCTAAAGGACGACCCCAACAGGCACAGTCGACCATGACACGCAGCTGGTGAAGTAGCTTGTTCAACATGTGAATGTTCTGCTGACTAGCTGACACTGCAAACAAATGCAACAGTAACTGTTAAACGTTTTCAGAACCCAAACACAGAACTTTACCAGTCTGGGCATTATTTATTCTTTACATATTAATACCCAGATGTTTAAATTCTACATTTCACTGACATGTATGTGTGTAAGTTATCTACTTCAGTTTGCATTTCTGTCATGAGAAGATGCTGGAGATGAAAAATATATATGAGGATGAAATATAAATTTATTTTAACTGATTATATTTCAATCATTTATGAAACCATAATTTCCTACAATTTACAATTCCTGATTAGCTGGGTCTTAAAGGGTTAATACTTCTATATTTAACACTTCTCTGTGTTCTACATAAACTATAAGTTTGCATTTTTAAGGCATATGATAAAATCTCATGATGTTCATGTATGTACAAAATTCACTTTGACAGATTAATTTATTAAATTCATTTAATACAAGAGTTTCCTTTTCCAATTGAAAATACCTGTGTAATTCTCTTTAGATGGTTGTTTGGCCCACAGGTTTAACATTCCTTTTAAACATCTAACAGAAAATTTGTTTAAGTAAAGGAGTGAAGAAGTGAAACGCTTGCAGTACGGTGTAAAGCATTAAATCCACTGACTGTTAAACATGGAGGAACATCCAGTAGAAATGCAAAGTAGAGTATCTGCTGCACAATATAACCAAACCTTGGTATGCAACTTCCTCCAGCATGTTGAAGAGCACTTTCTGAGCACATCCTGACAGCATTGTCAGCTTCTGTGTGATAAGGAGATCTAGCAGCTTGCAGATGTAGTTAAATCGACGTACATCATGCACAGCACTTCGGAAGTCAAGGCGCTTAAACGCATCACTTAAGCCATTGAACCCTGCAATCTGCAGACATACAAAAGATACAGGTAAAGAAATTATAAAGTAAACTTTCTGTAGGGCATGCAGGATTACTGAAAGAAGTCCTAAGCTTTCCTTACTTAAAATCAGATTAATATAACGAGCAATATTTGACAGTTAGATATTCATGTCAGGTTAGTATTTTGTTTTTGTACATTTCCACTAAAATTCCAGCTTATAAAATTCACTTAGCATTTACAGATAAAAACTGATCAAAAACATGTCAACCTTATGGTCTAGGGGTAAAATGCTGATCTCCCATCTAAGGACTGAATCAAGTGCAGTCTGTGTGTGTGTAAAGAAAAGAAATAACAAAACATGATTTCAACCTTTCAGGATCATATATTTTTTAACACATGACAGCTCAAAAGGTTCAGTTTGTTTCATTACATTTCAATAACTGAAACTTGATTGGAACATAACTTCCAGATTGCTGGGGCACATATGACAAATAAATCCATTTTACTGTCCATTTGTTTCATAAATAATTAACAACCAAGAGTCATGTAAATTATATTAAGATTTTAGGGACTGTTTGCTTCAGCCCAACATTCAGCCTGGAAGGATTAATATTAACAAATTCCCTTAAGCTTCACAAAACTAGCTCTCTGATAAAGGGTCTTCTTTGAAGAGCTTATAGTTACACATCTAGTGAATAAATTCCATATGAGGCAAGGAATTTCTATACAAGCTGAGTGGCTATCAGTTTTTCAAGAAGGGCTATACTCCATGGAGTCAGCCAATCCGTGAGACAGTCAATTAGCAAGTTAAATAGTCAGTCAAGTGAGATTTATAAGTGAAGTTTAAACTATTTTTAACTGTCTATGTTACAAACTAAAGCCATATTTTGGCATTTCTGCCACACAAGCATTACAATGAAACAAAATAATTATCATTAATATCATAATTTGTAAAAGTCTTCAAATTCTGAGAATCTTTCATTTTCTGTTTCACTGGTTAAGTTCTAATCACTACTGAACTTATTACAATTGTGGGAACACTAATGCCGAAATGACGAGTGATGCTCTCACCTCTCGTGTACACTTGATAGTGATGTGACAATGTGGCTGCACTGCACCATCTGGAACAGCATTAACATGATTCAGACACAAAAATAAAGATTTTCCAGGATAGCCAAGCAAACCAAACAATGCTCTAATTGCTCGTGCAGATGAAAACTCGAACTTCCAGAATAGAGTTAATTTAGATTAAATGTAATATCAGATACATCTTGAGTGTGTCTGTAGATTTTGTGGGTTTGTGCAGGTGCATGCACAAGTGTGCGTGTATTAAACTTTACAATTATGTTTTGTATCTCATTTGTGGACCAAAAGAGGATTAACAAATACTCTTTCGAAAAGTCCAATACAAAAATTAGAAGGCATAATAAATATGTCATTTAAACTTCACTACATGAATAGGAAACGATGAGTGCACAATAATACTCCTTCGAAAATTACAGCACAAAAACAAGTCGGCCTACTACGTCGTTTGGACTTACCTGCGCCTGTTTTCTTGCTGTGGAACGCTTGCAATCCCAGGTTGTCCGACATCAAGTTCTCTCTGTCTTCCTCATCAAGCCTGCGATATAATAATGAACATGATATATCAAGGTGGTTTGCTCCAGCTGAGAAATCTCTAAATACGTTCTTTGTTATTTCCTAATATTCACTTATGCTCATTCATTACAAATACACATCTTTCTCTGCACACTAGAAAATTACCCGTCAATAATGACGGGAAAATCTAAAGCAGTACTAAAAAAACAGCAAGGAAAACGCAATATACTACTGAGACAGTTTTCAAGCACGATGGATGGGTTGAAAACATCAGGTTTATTAGCAACCTCTAAATATTTTTTGCTTCTTACATGACTTTCGAATCCTTCAACTGAAAACAATCACCAATCACACCACACATATTTAAACATTGTATTTATTCATAAGTTTGCAATACAAAATCAAGGTCCTCTGAACATACACTGTTCTTGCAACAAACATTTTACAAAAGAAGTGGATCAGTAGAAAAGAATGAAACAATTTTTAAAACGCATTCGCTTGTTTGTTAATGAGGAGATTAGTAAGAAGATGAGTTGGAAAGAGTCAATTACGAATCTAATGTTGAAAAGATAAGCTTATGTTTTTGCGTTGCCTGCAGTCTAATAATGATTTAAAATTGGTTACCAACCACACTTGTTTATTATATAGATAGATAATCAACAATACAAAACAACACACTGTGTAGTAAATGGGTAAACATTTATTTTTACATGTAGGCTGGATGGAAAGTATTTTGGAGTGACAGCAGGCTGGAAAACTTCGAGAGTAAAATTCCGTAGTTAAAAACTGTTGTATTTACACTGACAGGACATATTTAAACACACGCCAAATGCATAAAACCGCGCTATTATTAGTGTTATCAAGAAATACGAGTCTGCTAGTTCGACTTCGTTTAGTCAAAGTAATTTCTGCAGTAACTGTTTACTTCTAAACAATAGAAAGTCACATTAATAATAAAATCTCTGGTAATGATAAGCAAAGCCGTTATCAGCACATACATTAACACCTACTGAGTGCTTACTTCTCTCGGCTCCAGTTTTTTCCTAAACTATGCACAGTTTGCTGTGTGGGTCTCCTAGTACCCCTCAAAACAATTTGTTCCATGGACGGATTTGACGTCTCATTGTCAGGATAGGGCAAAACAAATTAAAATTCATCGCTCTGATGGTGGACTCAGTACGTACCTCCGAAACGTCGGTAAACCTCTACGACACTTCACGGTGCATTAACCCAGAAGGTTGTCATCTTCATACAAGGGCTGTCATTGTGTCCAAGCACCATGCTATTAAAGATAATAGAGAGAGAGTGGAGACAAAGCTCCGTGTATTCTTAACGATGGCATGAGCTGAGTGGTCTGCTTCAAGGTCCAGAAACTTTTTCATCGGTTAACGAGTTTTTGATGGACCGTGAATATAGGGATGAGTGATCCACAACATTGGTATGGCAACAGCGGTGTCTCTGTCGGGAATCGAACGCCAGCTGTCCAACCCATACTTTACTCAGATGGACCCTTCGGTGCTCTTTTATATTTGATCGATACACACCAAAATAATCCCTCAACACCAAATTCCATTGAAATCTGTTAAATAGTTTTCGACATGAGATAACGCGGACGGGCAAACATGATCTCTGTCAATGATTCGTTCATTTCAAACACATAGTGTAAATTGCACATGCAGATGATACCAGGTACAAATATGCAAATTAGGCTCCGAAACAAAACACAGACCGAAATAGCGGTTGGGCGACGGGTGAACGACCGAAGGGAGACGTGAGAGGGGCAGACATAATTCACACTGTGCATCGCCTCTGGCGTGTGTTCCGGGTTCCGTCTGCATACCAACGACACGTGAATTGCAGGCGGTCCCCGCTTTTACGGCGCAAATGTTCCTGCAAAATCAATCGCAAATTAGGCCCTCTTTCGCTGGTGCCAGGACAAAGTCTTTTCAAGAAGTCCTCACAAATCAGGTTAACTGATTTCTTTAAAATATCTACGCAGATTATTTTATTTAGTGTTCTGTCTGACGACAGGTCCATATGAACAGGATCCTTCCATCCTTTTCTCGGACTGGGACCTGTTCATATACGTTCTTGGCAGATGATCCAGAAGTGGTTTGCCATTGCCTTTTTCTGTGTGTGAATGGAGTAATTGTTGGGATGCCACGGAGAAACCGGGGAAGCCCCCGGAGGAAAACTCCGAGTTTCCTAGACCATGGCCTTGCCCAACACAAGTTATAAATTCGGGCACCGCCGGGAATCGAACCCGAGACCCCAGGATTACAAGGCCAGGAATTTTTATTTTGTTAAATTACAGATGCCACAAAATATGCCCTAAAACTACAATCATATTGCAATCGTGATTTTTGGACCAACACCCCTTCACTCTGACACAGCGAGTTTTCCAATAGAAGTCTGATGTTTTTGGTTACAAGACAGGATCCTTTTTTTTACAAATGAGAGTGGAAATGAGATATTCGATCAAACACAACATACACACGCACAATTCCATTGTGCTATAAACTAGTGAGACAGACGTTTAAATTCAGTTAGGTACTTCAGAAATTTAGAAATTCCTTAAAACCGACAAAACATTTCTATATCGATATTCTTAATGTTTCCGATATCGATACGGAATTCCATATCGACTTATATCACTATAATATACGACTACGTACTATGCAGCAAGGCTAGTGATTTCCATTGCAGTTCCAAGTTGAAAACAATGGGAAATAAACATGGTAAGAAAGAGAGAAAATAGGAAAAGGATAAAGATATTAAAAAATCAGGACTTCGTATTTCAATTGGACTCTTCCACTCGTAAGCATGTAAAACGAAGAGAAAGTACTACAAAGGAAACATTAAAATCAGGATTTTTAGGCCAGTACTTCGAAATAGAACATGAATGGTCGGAAATTGCTGAAATTGTGTATGGACATCGTGTCAAACGTAAGTAATAAAAATTCATACTCTTTCGTGTCACAACATTTGTAATAAATTCACACGAAAGCATCAAAGTCGCGAGATGCAAGAAACGCGCACAGAATTCATTATACGTAAATAAAGGTGTTACAATTGAATCCAAACATATTCAAGTGACGCATATTAACAAAGACAACAATTAAATATGCAATATGAAATGCAAAGATCAAAAACGTTTTCGAAAATTATGAAACTGTCCGTAAGCATTGAATGTAGCATACAGATGGCAGCATGTGTACCAAGACTTTCCGAACTGGAATGGTGATGGCGTGCTTTGGTAGTGACTCGAAAATAAGATTGTTCTATAATGTAATAACATTGAAATATCTGAGTGTTTAATTTCCCGCAATCGATAATATAACAAATAAGATGCCTAAACATAGATAATTTGCGTCACGTCACTGCGCATCAACTTCTGCGCAGATGCCCCCTTAACTTAACCTAAGTAACCCAACTCAACCCAACAGGTGTATTAAGCGTCACCTCAACATGGCGACCTGCGCACGAAATTTCGAAATAGACCATCGATAGTCGGAAATTGCTGAAATTTTGTATGCACGTCGTGCCAAAGGTAAGTAATAAAAATTCATACTCTTTCGTGTCACAACACTTTTAATAAATTCACACGAAGGCATCAAAGTCGCGAGGTGGAAGAAACGCGTAACCGGCCACCATCACTAATATCCGACTTTGCCAACAAGGTGTTACGCACTCGATATATTTTAAAATAAAATTTGAACATGTGTATTAATAATACTTAAGCGTAAGCAGACCACATATGCAATTCAACAACTACAATTGCGTAAAATCATCCATACGTGACGTGTGCCAATTGTGTTGTGAGGTCCACAAGTAGGTAACCAATGTGAAAACTTTGAAGTATATAGCTATGGTAGTGCTCAAACACAAGATTGTTCTATACTTTAAGAACATTCAAATATTTGAGTGTTTAATTTCCCACAATTCATAATAGAACTCATACGATGCCTTAACATAGACAATTTGCATCACGTCTCTGCGCATCATCTTCTGCGCAGATGCCCCATTAACCTAACCTAACCCAACAAGGGTATTCTGCGTCAGCTGAACATGGCGACCTGAGCACGAATTTTAGAAACAGACCATGCATTGTCGGAAATTCTTGAAATTTTGTTTGGACGTCGTGCCACAGGTAAACAATAAAAATAAATACTCTTTTCTATCACAACACTTGTAATAAATTCACACGACGGCATCAAAGTCGTGAAGTGGAACAAACGCGAAATCGGCCACGATCACCAACATCCGACTTTATCAACAAGGAATTATGCACAAAGACGTTTGTTTATATTTTCTATCTGGTGCCTATACGTGTAAAGATAAGTCACAGCACTACCAAAGTCACAAAATGAGTTCAGAAACATGTTTATGGCGAAGAAACAGATAGTGACTACGGTTATGTAAGCGCGATGTAGCTTCATACGAAAGGATTCGCGCACAGAATTCATCATACGTAAATAAAGGTGATGCAATTGAATCCAAACACATTGAAGTGACGGAAATTATAAAAAATAACAAATAAATATGCAATATGGCTTGCTGTTTCGGTCAGGTAAATTAATAACCCGTAACGTAAAGACATGCACAAGTGACGTGAGCAATTGTCTTTCGAGGTCAACAAGAAGGTAACCAATGTAATATCTTTGAAGTGTAAATTCATGGTATTGACTCGAACACGATTTTTTCTATATTGTAAGAACATTGAAATATTTTAGTGTTTAGTTTCCCGCAATCGATAATAGAACTCGTACGATGCCTTAACATAGACAATTTGCATCACGTCACTGCGCATCACTTTCTGAGCAGAGGAACATCTTCTTCTTCTTCTTCTTCTTCTTCTTCTTCTCTCTCTCTCTCTTTTTACCAAATCACTTGATCTGTAATTACACGCAAACCATTGTAATACTCATACATAGTTCAATTCCGCCTGTTGGCTACCGCCCCTCTCAGCGCGGATACTCTCCTTTAGATCTTTATATATCCTGACCTGTTCATATGTCCCGTCGCTCTGCTTTGTATCATGCTGCGAGGAGAACACGCATGTTTCACGTGCTTTCTTTCTGTTATTTTGGCATGAACGCTACGGATGCTACATTGCACGTTGGTGGAAATACATCGGTTCTGGATATCATGGAATATTAACCTACCGAAAAATATTTCAAATAATGAGATTTTTATGTCAATTCACGTGCCAGGCTCTGTTGTGACCGATATGGACCGCTCAATACAAAACTGTCTAAATTCCTCCCAATTATGTTCATTTTAACATATTCTTCAGGTATTTTTGTTCTAAATATAGATTTTCAACTTGATCTCATAGTCATTAGCTAGAACTCAAGCTATTTAAACCTACATCTGAAACAGACCTGAGTACGATCAACAGCATTTAATATTGCTGCAGTGCATTTTCTTTAAAGAATTAGAATAGAATAAAACAGGGCAGAACAGAATAGAATATAGCCAAATAAGTAATTAAGTGGATACTGTAAAACTGTAACACATAAAGGGAGAAAATTATGGCACAGGAAAATTCACAAAGTGATGAAAAGAAATGATTTCAAGGAACGAGAGTGAAATTATAAGCAGTTATCAGACTTTCTAGATGCAGTGGAGAAGAATATGGAGCGGCAAAAAGTAAAAGGAGCAGGAAAGAGAGGTAATGAGGCGGAGAAGAAGATAAAATGAGGAAATGGACAAAGATGATTTAATGCAGAAATAGCGTGAATGCTTAATTGCATCAGAGACCCCAGCTTTACTATTACTGATTACCCAGGGAAAATGTTATCGCTGGCGATGCGTACAGCAATGCAACCCTTAGCCCCACACTCTTGCATCTTCTTCACATGCGGTAATACACCAGGCCTCTACTTACCATCTGCCACTGAAGCTGATTTGCTCTGTACTGAAGCTGCCAAGAGAACTGCATCTGAAACAGAAACACGAAGGACTTACTCGGAAACAAGAGCTGGTAGATATGTTATAAAGGAAACGCAACAATACATACACAATTCTGAGTAGCAACATAAGATAAACGGATTTGAGGTTTTCACGGCGGTGAATCTGAAGATGGCTGTCTTCTGGGTTGTTAATGCGCCGTGTAGTCTGATAGAAGTTTGCCGACTTTTTCAGAAGTCCTTTCTGCCTCCATCACGATGCGATGATCGCCTTGATGATGGAGGCAGCAAGGACCTCTAAAACGTCGGTAAACTTCTATCAGACTACACGGCGCATTAACAACCCAGAAGACAGCCATCTTCATAAGACAAACGACTTCCAAGACCTAAGCGTAGAAACCGGACAATATTAGAAAAAAAATATTTAGAGAAACAGTTTGTGAAGATGACTGAAATGGTTGAATAGACCCGGAACAGGATCTAGCGGTGAGCTCGTATATACTTCAAAATTAATCATTCAAAACTATTCTGTATTTAAACGCTATGAAACGAATGCACTTAATAACTTTCTGTTTTAATTGATCAAAGAAGACAATGTATAGACCTGGTAGTTTTGATTTTCTCACAAGGTATCCCAAACAAATTTTTTTATTCATTATCCGATTTCTCAATATGTGCTGCCTGTCCCAAATGTGGTATCCTCCATGTAGCAATGCTAACAATATCAGACCAAGGCGAAGAAAAGTTATGAACGCCGTTTACTTTTCGTTTACCTACATCTCTCGGTAACACTAGAGTCCCTCGATTCTCATTTGTCTGCCCTCGATTTTAGCTATCTCAGGTGGATCGATGGCGCTGCCATAGCAACGTGAGAAACAAAGTCAACTCGCGGATAAACAGAAGCTACGAGGTTCGATCTGATGACCTGTCTGAACTCCCAAAGTTTTGAAGCAACAGGGTCAAATAGCTTACACGATCGTTACAAGAAAGTAACACCTTGCCTAGCTACTGAGTCGATTGAAATGCATGGTTACTTATGACGAACAACACATTCAACAAACGAAACCCCACTTGAAAACTATCTTCAACTCCTCTGGTTTGCAGAAGCATTTTCCTCCTGGTTATACAGAGGGAAGTATCACTCTGTCACTCATATATTCAAACATGAAATTCTTGTACACAGGTTACGGGAAATTACAGGATAAACTTTTAATAACTGTCAAGAACATAATTTCAGTGCAAAAAGGACCTTTTATTTGTGGGCCTCGGAGTGAATCTCCCGTAGCTGGTATGGAAAAAACTAAATAAATTATTTTAAACAAAACAAAGAATCAACTCTATGCGGAACATGTAATTTGCATAGGATCAAGGAACAACGTACGTATTCAAAACTTCATTAGGAGAAACTCGAGAAAAGAGACCACTTGGAAGAAGTAGAGATAGATGGAAGTGCAATATTGACATGGATCTTTTAGAATTTGACTAAGCACTCGACCACAACGTTCGGTGTATCTTTGAGAAATATGGTGTTAAATGTGAACTGAACTGAACTCGTTCAGGAGTACGGTCCAGTGGCTACCTTCTGTGAACACAGTGATGAATATTCGTGTTCATAACAACAGTAAATGTACTGACCACCTGCTTTACCATCAACTGATCCAGTGTAATCAGGCCATGTGCCATGCAGTCAGTGAATATATAACTCCAGAACTTCATGTAGCCTAGAAAAAATGCAAGTAAGTCCTTTGAACATACAGAGTGTTCCAAATAGATATATACACACATTCAACAAATGAAATAAAGACATTTTAATAAACCAAAACATTACATACGTCAGTTATGGTACTTGGTAAATAAGCAAATCTAGTGTAGGTGTTCAAAATGACCACTTTCACCTCCGCGATGCTGAGACAACAATGTAATAATAATCCATTGTTCTCTCTATTAAGTCAGATAAGCAGATTTCTCATTCAGTATACGAAGAATGAAGGACACAACAGTTCAACCGAACCAAGAGACCCCTTCAGTCAGCATATTTTACTTTTACTCTTTTGCTTTTTGTAAAATGACGCCGTATTTTTATTTGTGTTTCTTAGACGTTTGTTTTGAGAACTACAGTGCAATGACATTTTAGTTAGAGAATGCAGTGTGAAAGAACGCAGAAGCAAGAATCGTGATTCTTAAAGGTCCTATTACATATTTGCCTGAAATAACAGAGTAAAATTACTTTTAAAAAACATTGGTCCATGTGGCCAACTTCTAGGTCAGATTTTGAACTGGATACATCTAGAATAAGAAGCATAATTATAACCACTTGATCATCTGTCTAGCTGGGGTCTGTACATAAGCTACTTATAGAGCATTTTAAAGAATGTAACTTCAGTGTGTTTGGTTTTCCAGCAGTAACATTTTTTGTATTTGTCATTTTTTCTACGACACACCTTTGGATGAAACAGAGTGGGGCGGACAGGTGCAAAGTTTTTGGGTACCACTTTGTCAAATTTTCGAAACAGAAAACATCATTAATTTCTCCGGCGTTTTCTCGTCAAGAGGAACTTCTTTTCTTTTTAAGCTATTTCCGTTTAAGACGCGCCTTTTGGAAGGACGATAGTGGGACGTCTGGATTTTGGCTATTGTATATTAATATATTTGCCGCAGGAAGTTAGTAGCATTTTTGAATAAACTGCCACGGCGTTTTGATAAATCGTCACCATTTCTAGAGGCCGGCCCTGGATTCGATAAGAATGAGTGAATATGGTCCCTCGTCTTTAATGTTGAGGACCCCCCCCGATTTAAATTCGAACCCCGCTTCAAATGCTGGTCTGTATAAAGTCAGTCTTTCGTTTTCGGAATTTATCTAATAAGTTGTACGTAAACAATTCTAATCAACCTATTTAAATGATCGCGGCTCGCCGAGACAAAGGGATTACTCTCGCAGACTATTGGTCTGTCGTTGTGACGTCACTTCCCAGCTGAAGGTCGCCCTTAGACCCGAGGTCACAACAAAATCGCCTCACTTCCTATTACTTACGTATAAGATTCAATATCGAGAGACATGTTATGAATTCTTGCTCCACAAACACAAATCCTTTTTCATGCAGCCTGGAATTCACGCTATATACTACCAACGCATTTGAAACTATACAAAACTGCATCCCACACCTCTTTAAAAACAATTCACAACTGGTATATTTCAATAATAGTTTACCTGGTACAGGGGTCAATAAATTCAAACAACTTCAAGGTCAATGCAAACAGAATACTACATACTCTTAAAATAGATGTACTTCCTTTCTCCTAATTTAGTTTTATCTGAGTATGAAGAAAATTCAAAAGTTATTTTCTTGATAAACACCATTTTGACTTGGAAAGAACACATTATATCGATTCAATCAGCTGAGATAGTAAACAAACCTCGTAGTCGTCGTATCCATGTTCTCTTGCTGTATCCCTTGACGACCACATTCTAGGATCTTCTTCTTTTCCCAACCTTCTTCTGTTTTTACCCATTCTTCTCCTGGTGAACGCCAATCTTTTGATATGAAAGGCATAGTCTTGTGTTTTGCTAATTAAGAAGTCACCAGGAACACAACGTACTTTAGACACATCAAATGTAAAACTGTACTACCAAAACATTAAAGCGCATGGCTTTGTTGTCTGGTTTGACGTCTTCCAATCAGCTGACAGAATCATATGTTCGCATCACCGTCCATTTTCACAACAAATTTCTCCTTTTGCTATTGTTGCTACATCTACTGAGAGAAGTGAAAATATTTGCAACGCATGTCCCGTCACCTAGTGGCTAACGGAGGAATTATACCTTCTGGTACTTGTGGACAACAAAGAGGAAGTATATCTGGAGTGAATTCTGTTCTACGTAACACACAAATACTAACTGAAAGTTGAAACACCTGATCACGCATATTGATTTCATCATAAAATATGTAAGACTAACTAATTTCATGAAACTCTCATGCAACGTATTATGAATTGTGCACACGGATTTGGCATCGCTACGACATATTGGTTGGTGCAATCAGGTCATTGATTAACTACAATGAAGAAGACTAAATGTCTCATTGTGTGATATTTATTTTTCCTAATCCCTGACCAATTTTACAATTATCACGAGAGATATTAGTAATCTATGTCGTCTGTGTAATGTTGGTGTTTGTTCTAAGCAATAATATTCGTGAATATTCTTATTATTTGGTAGGTTGAATATCTGTTTCAAGAGCACGACCTCAAAAAAAACCGAAGTGAATTACGTATTCATTGTTTCAAACACATATTTTTTTCCTAAGGTAAAAGAAAGTAGTGTAGCTTGAATGTACGTTTAGTAACTTGCAAATTATTTGTAAACATGGTAAAACTTAGTTTTTGGAATTTTTTATTATTCATTCTGCCAAGTAAATCGTATGTGCATTACAAATTGTTATTGTGTGACCGGACTACTGAAGAATTATAACCTGTGCCAAAGCTGATAAGTATTTCTATGCCTCTTCAGGTCATACAATGGGAGTAAATGAGCAGATGAAAAAGGTTGATCTTATGAAGGATAAAGCCAATATTTCTCGTACCACAATTGACTACATGAAAGTTGTCGAAAAGGAAAACCTGCGTAGAGTTCAAGCACTACAAAAGCTGAGGCAAAGAAACATAGGAACTGGTTTGATGCTGGGTGCTGGTGTACTTGGAATATACTTTTACACCATTTTCGCCGTTAGGCAAGAAAAGTTCCTTGACGATTTTGACGAACCAGCCACAACAAGCAACTAGTTCCCGAAAAAATCTTAATTCTCTAACTGTAGATATAATCACTCAGAATTATTTTAAAAATGACTATAGCACGCAGTGTGCAGGAGACCATGAGGCTTCCACCATTACCTACAATTAGAGATATATTAAAGCTTTATCGCTTGCAAGCCTTACGGCAGTTGTCACAGAATTTTCTGCTGGACCAACGGCTGACAGACAAAATAGTGAAGGCAGCTGGAAACATTAGCAACAGTGAAGTATGTGAAGTTGGACCTGGCCCTGGTGGAATAACTCGCTCCATCCTTAACAAAGGACCAAGTAAACTTATTGTCATAGAGAAGGACAAACGCTTTGCACCTGCATTAGATGTGAGTTCAAACCAGTGTCATTAGAGGGATTTGGGGTTAAATTTTACAACTTAAATTACTACATATCTTAACAGAAATGTAATCAGTATTATTCCTCTCTTGTCTTAATAGTATTTTCAGATTATTGTTCTATTTGTTGACTAACATCTGAAGTTATACTGGCAAAGTAATTTATTATATTTCTCTAACAAATAGACTTCTTGATATTAAGTTTATTTTTCATTGTGTTTTTGTTTATACAAAGCATAAATTGTGAATTGTAAGTTGATGGTAGATGACTTCAGGTGGGTGAATGCTAGACAGATATGATCACCAGAATATGGAGTTTTTCCAAATTATACATCTACCTGTCTAACCTTTCAAACCTGTCATTGAATTTGTTTTTGTAATAAAGGTTAATTACAAAAGAAAACTGTCAGTTGTATAATTTAACATGTATATCAGCAGCACATCTGAAATGTAAATATGGCAATAAAATGTAGGTCCTTTCTGCCATTACTGTTAGAATTAACTTTGCTCAAAATGTCACCTTCTGTTCAGCTCTTGGTTGAGTCATCTCACCAGCGCATGCAGGTTATCCTGGGTGACGTAATGAACTTTGACATGAGCAAAATGTTTTCTGAGGACAAGAGGAGGGATTGGGAGGATCGTCCACCACACATACACATCATTGGTAATCTTCCATTTAGTGTCTCAACACCACTTATCATCCGCTGGCTCCAAGCAATGTCTGAGAGGTATGTCATGAATTTCATACTGCTGTATGTCAGTGTACAAATTCTTGAGATAGATACAGGATCTACTTTGAGCAGTTCATAGCTATTTAGTTGGTATAGAAATCTCTTAATTTTTAGTGCTATATATTTCTTTACAATGTACGCTTAGTATCATTATTATTATATTATCTATGTTTACATGTAAGAATAATAGTAAACACAATAATAATAACTCATTATGTTTCAATTTTTCACTCCAAAAAAATGTCTATAGTGTATCTAAATCTAATATGGGGATATATAATTTTATATGTGGCCCGCAGAGTTATGATGCATTTCCAAAGTGGCCCGAAAGATCATTTGGGTTGGCCACCCCTGCTTTAGAGGAAACCAACATTCTGTTACTAAATTTACAAAACTGAATCCTATCCGAAGCAAGTTGAATGCTATCCACAAAAATATATCAATTGTCTCATAAATACTTCTCAGATACAACATAAAATAAAATATGCAAATGTTGAACCATATTTTGTTTGTTGAATATTTAGTTATATTAAAGGAAACATGAATCATGAATGCATTGTAAAAGCTTTGCAACAAATCAATAATAGTTGTTGAAGCTTTTTTTTAAATGCTTTTAGAAATATATGTACATGCTAGTCATCCCTTGCAGTTTCCTAAACAAAATCTTATGTGGTTTACACAAATCATTGATTCACTGTTATGTTACAAGGTTAAAAAAATCACTTAATAATGAGCTGACTATAGAACTCAACCTTGTACTTACTAGCACATGTTTCAAGTCAGATTTTTTTTTCCTCCTTCCAGACAAAATGCTTGGTCATACGGTCGTACTCGGCTTACATTAACATTTCAGAAGGAAGTGGGAGAAAGAATGGTTGCTGACATCATGTCAGAGCAGCGCTGTCGACTATCTGTCATGTGCCAGAATTGGTGCACAGTGAAGCATAAATTCATTATACCTGGTAAGTTGTACCAATATCCAAACATGTAAGAATTAACAAACAAATACTGAGGAACTGGTCATATTGATTTCACTGTAGGATTTGTCATTTATACAGTGAAGAATATTCGCATGGAAGATTACTCTAAAAGTGATCCTTGTATTCAGGAGGTAACTAATTCAAATCTGTGAGGTTAACAGCTATCCTGACTGATATATTCATGGTTTTCCTCAGTCTTCACACAGATTTTGAAATTGAATCTTTAAACAGGTCAGAATCAGCTCCTTCCAAATTCTTATCTATTCACTCTTATGTATCATTTTTCCATGCTGTGTGACTTCTACAGTTGAAACTTTGTTGCTAGATAATCTAAGAATCAACAGGCTGCTATAATTTGAATCATGTATACAGTTCTTAGCAGTGTACCGTGATGTTCCAGGAAAGGCTTTTGTTCCAAAACCAGAAGTGGATGTTAGTGTTGTACACTTCACACCACGGATTCAACCACAGATTCCTCTGCCATTCAAACTGATTGAGAAAGTTGTGCGCAACATATTTGGTTTCCGTCAGAAGTACAGCATTCGAGGGGCAGAGTGAGTGCATGTACTGAAAAATATAAAGAATCTTTAGATTGAAGCATACACATGGTCATCTTCTGTATTCTGGTATCAACACATGAAGATTTAATTTCTTTCTGCATGTATAGACAACATCCATACTACACCACATACAACATTTGGTAACATCTATTGGTCTTAAGGAAGAATGTTGCTCCATATCATGGGATAATGCAGGCTTCTTAAAATGGCCATGTTTTAATTTCTTAAGATGTTACAGTACAGCAAAATGTATGTTGAACATTTATGAATGCAATATTTGGTTATGTTACCACGGAGCTGGTCAAACACCAAAACAATCAGAAAGAAACATAAAATAAGCAAACAAACAAACTATTAACACTATAAAAAAGACACTAGTGCCAAACGCGTTTTGACCTCAAGAGATCATCAGTGGCAACAGGTAAATTAATTCATTTGATCAAAATGGTTTAAAATTGGTTTATAAAACAAATCATGAAGTGGAATATTTTACAAAAGCTGCTATTATCAAAAAATGTAAACCTGGACCATACTTTATTAGTGGGCTGGGGTACATTGACATTGGGTTTAGGTGTTTTATTAGGTTATAGGATCTTGAGATATCATTAAAGTTGTAACCGTTGTTGTATCCTATTTCTTGGATGAGTTTAGTTTCTTTATCAAATTCTTCTTTGGAGAGTGGTATTTTGTGCAATCTGTTCGATCACAAAGAAAGGAAGAAGACATTAGTAGTGTTCAAAATAAAATGTTTAGTTTCTAAGAGTAAACAAGAAACAAAATAAGTTTCTGGTTGTGAAATAATGTTTTATCTTTGATAAAATAATAAAGCTTATAGAATAGGCATAAAACAAGCTGTGCAATTGAGAAACACTGCTTTGTGTTGTCCTTACACTGTTTGAATTAAATATAAAATTACATTGCTGCAGGAAGTTGTTCCCAGTCCCAGTACGACAAAAACTTGGCACGGAGATGTACCATCTTGCAGAAATTGATCCCACAACACGACCATTTCAGCTCACTGTTGAAGAGTTTGGGAGACTGTGTCATGCATACTGCAAGATATGTGACCAGGATCCTAGGCTTCATAAGTACAACCATCGAGCAGCCAGAGAAGAACGTGAAGACTTTGACAGCTTGTACGAAGAAGAACAAGCCTTATTGGAAACTGTATCACAGACAAATATGTGATGGACACTAAATTAGTGATTGTAGAAAAATTTTCTGAATACCTTGTGTCACCTTGAATGTCAAGTACTTGGGTTTCAGAATTTGTGAGTCTGTGATTGATGAAATTTTGTTTCTTCGTACAGATATCACATAAAAAATTAGGATACTAAATGCATAGTGGAGTCTCTGTTCATCCACTTGGTCATTACATTGTTTTTATGGAATCAAAATTGTCATTGCTGTATTTATTCACAAAAGCCTGCTAATAAACACTGTTAAACTGAATTCACTCCAATTCACAGTTTCAAAACCAATTTCCCTATGATCTGTTTTAATGACAAAATCCCATACCCTTGCCAGGAATTCAATATCAGTGAGCCACTACAGTGGCTGAGCTATCCAACTCAGAATGAAAGTCTTTAAATTTTAAATTGTAGACTGTTCATATTAACCCTTCTGTGTAAAGGAATTTTCATCATGCTGCAGGAGTAGTTTCCACAGGCAGTACATCCAATCTACTAATCCACACCATTCAATTGTCATTTACTCAGCAAAAAATTGATTATCTTGTGGATACATTACAGAATTTGTGTAAGTAGGATTTGAGGTTTGCATAGTGGTGAGTCTGAAGATGGCTGTCTTGTGGGTTGTAGCACCATGTAGTCTGGTAGATATTTGTCAATGTATCAGTGGTCCTTGCTGCCTCCATCATCAGGAGTAGTATATGGCAGCAGCATAATGTGCATTGCACAACACTGCTCTGAAGGGAGGTGTGTATGCGTGGAAAAATAAATCTGCCTCGAACAAATAACTGTAACATCAGTCTTTATGTAGTTGCTTGCGTTGTAACATTCTGCGATGCTTCTTGGAGTGCAAGTGATCATTCCACTGTATGTCTCCGATAAACATTCTATCACACACATCACAATGGTGGATTTTCAAGTCATTCTTAACAGATCGCTCAGTGACAGGCAGAGGGTCAATCCCAGCAGGTGCCCAACCTTTCAGATAGCTTTCAACTATCTGCAGTGCAGGCCCCAGTACATGTTCATTCCAGAGGTTTGGATCAGTAGCATCAAGTCCATACACAGGTGGAACCTGAGTGAAAAGAAATGGAATCTGAAGTAGTTGATAATACAACAGTGACTCTAGAAAGGTTTGCTCTGATTGACTACATGTATTTTCAATTAATTATTGGCCTTGGTGGTCTGAATTTATTGTATTGTAAATAAACAACCCTTTCAGTACATGCTTGGTCTCCCACAATTGGAATTGAATTTATTGATTTGTAATCTTTCAGGCATTAAACAATTATATTTTCCACTAATGTTAACAATGTTTTACCTCTATCATAGGACAGTGGCTAATAGCAATATAGAATGGCATACATGCCAGTTATGGACGACTATGGTTCATGCACTTAATGAATTGTCAAGATTCTACCTGTGAGTTTAAAAATTACCAAAGCAATGTGTACAACTCCTTGTCTGCTAAGTCATCATTCTTCATACATTTAGAAAACTGCAGTTAATATTAGTAGGATGTTTATAAATTCTTTCCTGATATATAAGTAAGTAGTATATGGAAGTTACAGTTTTGAAAGATCTCTTCATTTTCATCATTTCTACGTTCATGAATTAGGCCCCCAGGCCTATTCCAAAAGTGACTCAGACATGAGGTAGGACACTGGATGAGAAATGCAGCCCATTACAAGTTGCACAGAACAACAAAGAATAAAAGTGAACAAAGATCCAAGTGCCCAGTGCAATTTGAACTCCCATGTACCTGTGGCCAAAAACTATATGCACCAGAAACCACGCTCCCAACAGTAATTTAGCAAGTTGTATTCTGTATTGCAGTATTTACTTTAATCTCCAGAACGTAAAGTCCATTCCATAAATAAATTCCATTTCACTGTAACAATTGTATCACTGACAACAGAATACACAAATCTCAAGTCTCCTTCCGTCTCTAGATATTTAATACATGTATACTCAACTTTCGAAACATTTTGTATTGCTGCTAACAGCTGTCCTGTGGTTATGGTGAAAACAGTGTACAACAAAACTGGCTACTTCTGGCAGAACATTTGTAACAACAGAAGAGACAGAGTTTTGCAGTTGGAAAAGAAAAGTAAATATTGTATTGTTCAATATAGCTGCATGATCTGTCAACCATAACAGTCACCATCTTCACCTGTCGACTGGGCCTGCACAGGAAACGGTTAGTGATCCAGCGCAGCTGGCGTCGTGCATATCGTCTGGTAACAAGTTTCAGTGCATCCACTCCCACATGGAACAATTTGGAACCCTTTTCAGAGTCACGGTCCTCTTCACTGAGTACCAGGTACTCATGGAACTCCTTGAATCCTATTGACTGGAATATACCCTTCGTGTAGTCTGCCTCACTGCGGGCAAAATGGCTTCATTTTACTCTATTTGGAATTACCCAATTTGAACAAGTCATTGATATTCAAACTGTGTTCAAGGGTTCCACAGATAAGCTTCTCTAACAGCTGTTTAATAATGAATGTTATTTCATTCTTAAAACTCAGAGTCTTGTTATAATATTTTATGCTTTAAGACAAGCATAAAAATGTGAGAATTTTGAATGCTTTCCAACTGGATAATTTTACATGTAAAAAAAATACTGAACCTATCATGACACCTATACTTCTGACATTACTCCCAGTATACTGGGAATTTATAGAAACATTCCTTTTATAAATCACTGCACTAGAAAAACTACTTAAATCTACCAGCTACTAAATGAAACAAAATCCAGTCATCACATAACCTCATTCAAGCAAGCAAAAGCATTTCTGTTGTCCGTTTACTACCTGTTGCACAACTCTCTGCAACACATCAGAAATAGTTTTCAGCTGGTTAAGAAAATCTTTGTTCCTTGGCATAAACATATTTTCCAAATGAGTTCTTTGCAACCTGGCATCCTTAAATAATTTTAATGTTAATTTATTACATATATAAATTTATAATTGATAAAGAGCTGAACTGTGTAGATACTACCTACACTGACCTGAGTCATAAATGTTACAGTTGATAAATATAATCAAAATTACAGACATTACACTACCCTTAAAGAAAATTGCTGAATTTATACATTGTTAAAATAAAACATGTTTCAAATAAAAGTTTTAAATCTTTATTTTATGTCATGAGCCAATGAATGTCCTTTTATTTACAAAACTTGATGAGTTCTAATTGTGGTTCATGCAACACTGGACTACTGTGTATCAAAACTATGTCTGCCCTTCAGAAATCAATGCAGACACCCAGCACCAAATTTCGTATTTTCCACGGACATATTTCGAACATGAATGGAATGGCAATCACATGCCTCCCCATTATGCGTTCATTTATGCTCATCTCAGAACAACAGGTGCCTCTACAACACTACTATCTCAGCCTTCCGGCTTGCTAATGGTATACTGCATTCCAGCGTTTTTGGCCGCTGAACTTTGTGAATTAGAACCTCGGAGTGAGTCACTTACCAGAAGTTTGCTGGAAGGGATGGCAGCAGGTCGCGTACAGTACACTCCAAATAAAATATCACCACGTTATGTAACACAGGAAAGGCGATTTCATTACACTACACATCACTGGAGAATTAACACTGCAGAGTGTAGTAGATAATTTTATCTTCTTCACAACTCTTCGGTCCCCTTACAATTCTTCCACTCCTCACAGTCATTCGCCTTCTTACATATCACTCCATTCAACACTACCGCTTCTGCTGTTCACTCCATTATCTTCAATTTTAATACGTTCAATAGCGTCTTCGAATATGCCTTCTTGCTCATAATAAATTTTGTTCTAATTTTTCCACATGCTGACATACATTATCCCATTCCTCTTGCCAAATTTCTTCGAATCTCTGATGACACAGATCCTCGACGTCCTTAACTTTAAATGTTGTGTTCTTGCTTGCAAACCATTGTTTTCAACTGCTCAAATAAGTTCAATGGGGTTTAAATCGGGATGTTACGGCGGAAGTACGTTCTTTGTCTGCTAAAATCTGATCACATAATATTTGTGCTTTGACTTATTTAATTTGATTAAATCGTACAGTTCAGCTTTCAACACGTCACAATATCGGTTGTTTATTTCCAGTAGCCAGGCTTTCATTTCGTCCTTCTTTGACTAAGACGTCGGTGGTTTGTCTGCCTGAGTGTTGTGATACGAGGCGTTATCAATGACCAGAAAGGAGATTGCAACGAACAGGTGGCATGTTGTTAACACAGCACAGTCACAAGGCAACAGTTATCAGGCTTCCACACTGCTGCACTGACACAGACTGTACTGACCGACGGAAACTCCTTCCTTCCTTCATTGCGCGGTCCGCATACTGAGCTCTCCCTACAAGGTCAGCGGCCATAATCGGTGGATCCAGTTCTACCGAGGACGTTGGGGTATGAGTCTGATGGTGTCAATAACGGTGGTGCTTCTCAAGGCCGTGAGGGTACAGGTGCAGGCGATCATTGCCGCCAACATTTGCATCAGAAAGAGGGCAGCACATGACAGAGTGCATAAAAAAGGACACGAAGGGGATAAAAACAGCTAGAAAGAATAAGGGGCAGAAATAATGCAAGAAACAAAGAAAAAGAGTAAAACAAAGGAAAACGGAATGAAGGAAAGAGAATATTTGTATGTACAAAATCCCTTGACGAAAAAGGGAATGACTGAACAATGACAGATATGGAATGAAAGTAAAGACGGAGGGAGTTAGCGGAGGAAAGAAACAATCTGCCACTGGTCAGTTCACTCCAGTGCCAATGCGTTTGAAACCAGTTTAATATTCTACATCCACGTCCTGTGATCTGTTCAGCTTAAGTCTGTCAATCAAGACCGGGAAAGCACCCCCCACCCACGTGTGCTCCATGTCACGCTGATCTCATTTCTTTTCTTTTTTTCTGAAAGCTTGCTGAAAGTTAACAAAGAAATTTGTTCGTATCTTCAACCCTCATCCAATCTTTCCTATCACCCCTGTCGTATCTTTGTAGCCATTCTCTGATGCTCAGTTTGGTGTGTTCTAAGACGTCAGGAAAAAGAATGTACATGGTATTGCTATCTCCTGGAATATAATGAAATTACATAGTGCTCACTGGCAGTGCAAGCTAGCAACGAAACAAACAAACAAACAAACAAAAAAACATGGCTTTCTTTTTACACGTAAAGTCTAGATTCATTAGTTTCACGCAATTAACTGTTGTCCTATCCCTGTTACTACAAATACATTGTTTCTGTAGTGGAGTCGATCATGTTGTGAGCTTGTTTGCATTTACAGAGAAAATGGGAGGGAGGTTATGCAGTAACAGTCGGTTTGGCAATCGGCAGAGATATTACGCAACCTGCAATTTGAGGTATATACAATATTGTGCAATGTACGTGAAATCTGGATTGAACTTGACGGTTTGGTTCGTGCATTATTTAAATAATGCAATGAATTGCAGGCGTTACTTCACGTTGATGAGTCGCAGGTTTAACTATGCCGGTTCAACTGCTGTGGTTACATCTTTAGTTCTCGGCAAGAAGAACGTAAATGAATACAATTACGTGTGACTTAGCCCACAAAAAATTCAAAGCACCCGGTAACCTTGCGGAGCTTCGAACAGTGCCTCACGAATATGTCCAAGCAGGTGTTCTAAGAAAGAGGCCACAGTCACATATCCTTAACGTCTTGTGGGCTATCGTATTATACAATTTTAAGGAACTTTATGAGAATTTCCTAAAAATCTTCCAAGGGCACTGTCGCTGATTCTAATAATACTCGTACTCAACACTTTTCTTTAAAAATGTGTCGACCTGTTATTCTGATTAATTATTCAATTAACATTATGTATTTAATTCAGAAAGTAACGTTTTTTCAAGAAGCAGTGAGATTTCCTATTACAGACATTTACGCTTACGCTAGCCGCCAAAACAACGACAAGCCGAGGATTGGGCACCCCTGCACTACAACTGCTCGGTTCATTATTACTGTACAGACAGCAGTTAATGGAATTCGTGCCACTCTGGATGGGCTTCATCACATGTCGTTCTCAGCAAATGCACACGGGTGACTCACACCGCAGGAAAGTCTTAACTGTAAGTTAATTTACGCCACTCGTACCATATTTTCAAACACATTTTCCGATATACAGTATAACGCGCGCACTATTGTGATGCCATTCAAGCACAGGGATGGTAGGTTCAAAGTCTACTTCCGGCATGGGTTTTTCAGTATCTCACTGTGTCATCCTGTGATGACTGAGGGTGGCGAAGGTCTTACCCCCTGCGTACATAAATAAATGTTTCGATTGTTGCGCTACAGGGATAAGACGAAGAGACACTTACTAACGGAGAAAATGGAATACAGAAAGAATTAATATGGAGGCGAAGAAGGCGAATAAGAAGGAACAAAAACATTGCAAAACTAATATGGATGAATAAAGTGACGAAGACGCCTTTACGTATTTAAAATTTACAGTGGGAAATGTCATCCTGGTAGTGTTAAAATGTTGTTGCATTTGACCTGATAAAAGACCAAGGAAGGAAAATTGGTAGCCCACACTTGTTGGATGAAGTTATATAAACATACATAACCCAGTCTTATCCAGCCCACTGCAGTACAATGGGTACCAATTCGACTGTGTATCTGAGTATGACCTACCTAGTTCTAAGCAAAAATGCAGTTGTTTACGTTTCTTCCGACGTCCCATTTAGCTGATAATGTACATGTGAACACATCCGAACCAGGTACCTGGTCTACTTACGTGCTTGTAGCAAGCCGCTCCTTGTTATAGCGACGATGAAAATCCAGCAGCTCCTGCACCAATCCCTGCTCCAACATGGTGTCCACGCGCACGTCTAAGCGTTCGTCAAGAACCTTCTGCAACGAACAATTAATTCTAAGAAACAACTTAACGCCATTTTGATGATCACGTTCTTGATCACTAGATTTTGTGGGATCTCTGTACAATTCTTTTATCTCATTTCACTGGCAAATCACTCAAATGTTCGTTGAAATGTTTAACAAGAAGTCCAAACAGAAAACTGGAAGATGAACAAATTTGTGTAAAGTTTAAAAAACAGGTTTTCGTGTAAAAATTTTCAAATATTTAAGAGCCTAATTTTCTCTCCTCTTTAAATTGGCTTTACCACAAGAATGTTGCAATAAGACATAACATCGTTGTTATACTTTCATTCTAGGCCTGTTGCCCTCACGCAGAAAGTGCACCGTAAGGCATGGTGAAAGCAGAGACACTTTCTGCAGCTTAAGTAACTGATATTTAAATTCAGGTGAGACCGCAGAGTTTAGAGGCTTGGGCCCTGTATCGAGGAATGAGGTGGCAAGATATCATAAATTGTGAATTATAAAGTCTTGGAGTGAACTGGTCATGCCCTATTTCAAAATAACCTACTATTCTTATATCTGCTTCGTTTGACTTAGGAAAGCCAAAAATCCTCAGACAATATTCGAACCAGGTGCCTCTACAGTGCTGTCTCTCCCCCAATGCCAAAGATGGCTCAAAACTCCTTGTGTTTCGCGACTCATCGCCCTGATTACGGAGGCAGCAAGCACCTCTGGAACGTCTGCGAACTTCTACCAGACTACACGGCACAACAACCCAGACGACAGCCATCTTCAGACTCACCGCCGTGAAAAACCTCAAATCCTGCAATTACGCTGATCACGTATCAACTTAGTCAATTAATAACATTAGGTCTACACACTTTCACTAAGCGTTGCAATATCAGAGACCACAACTGGGTACTTAAGGGTTAAAGTGTATTCATACTGGTTCATGGGACATTTATCGACGCTGTATTAGCTGCACATCGAATAGAGAATCGGTAGTGGCCAATTTGAAAGCAGTTCCGAGACTCAGTGATAAGTGTTTCGGTCGAGATTAGGCCGCTGCTCTGCAGGTTGGTTCGAAATGATCATGTAATTTTATAATTCTCTTGTAAGCTTATTTATTCATAACCGGTTCATAAACATGCACTTTCATGAATGGAAACTGGTATTCTCCCATGGAAATAAGCAATGACTTGTAGTTTTGATATGACACAGCATGTTAACCGTCGCATTAAGAAATTGCAAATGGCGCTGCCGCTGGTTTAGTTTCCTGAATGCTAAAAGAATGGCGACGGGACGCATGTGAGGCGTGTACAACAACTGTGACCACAATAAAAATTTCGCTACGTACATTTTTATGGTTTATACATCTTATTCGCCCTATTTGTTTAATTGTTTTTCTTTTTAACCCTTCTATTTTCTGTGTTCTTATCCGAGCCTCTCTTCCTCTACATTTTTATTTTTTATTTCCATACCATTACGTTATTCTGCACATATTTTGTCAATTGTCGTTCTTCTCTCCGATATGTCTCCGTAATTTTTCTTCTCCAGAAAACACGGTATATTCAGGTGAACAGTCGTGATTATTGCTACTAAAAGATACTCTCGCAGCGTGGATTCATTAATAAAGTGCTCGTTCTAATCACATTTTACTGTAAATATGGATAGCCAGCAAAGTAAACCCAAGTTCTACGTCTTGCAGATAGAAGCCAGAGACTGAGGTTTTGAAGATGCCCGGGTATTTCGAGCCGGAAGCAGACAGTAGCGTCACCATGTTGCCTGGTGTCAAGACCGCGCTGCTGATGGAATCCTGGCAAAGCCGTAACTAAATATGTCTCTCGGCGCCGTCACACGCCTTCTCATGTTCAGGGCTGCTATAGTTATGGTTATCTTATTAGGTTAATTACTTGATCGATCAGACAATAGACAAGTAGACAAAAGTCAATTGTGAGGTTACCGGTATGTGTAAACAACACGCAATGTAGTCGTTTACGGGTTTGGAGGTAAAGTTTCATATATTACAGACCTAAGCTTTTGTTGAGACGTGAGTAGCCAGTTTCACGCTTTACTGTTGAGAAAAGAGAGAGCATTGGTGACCCCCGGGCCAAAATGGACGAGACAGAAAAAGAAATTTCGTGCTCCCGTCTGAAAATTGAACCCCGGGCATGCAGCCAGTCAGTTACAATGGTGACTGTACCGAATTCCAGGAGACATAACCCATTAACGGACTGCTGTTAGTGTAGGAATGTTGGTAGGTTCTGTTCGCAGAAAAGTTTTCCTCGTCTGGACTGAGTTCCAGGAAAAGAACGTTCCGTAGGCGTGTTCTTAAATTGACTCTGAGCATTCTGAAATATGGAGCGCTAGCGGGCATATAAGACAGAGAAGTCTACGCTTTCTGATCGGCACACGATTTCTCCTCCCCCAGGGCTTGCGGCTGTTTGATTGATCAATGGGCTCCATTACATGCTTATACTTGAATGTCACCATAAACAATTCAAATCCTTAACAACAGTTGAAAGATCTGAATCTGCTTTCTTTACAACTTTGCAATCAATGGCCTTGCTGTTCATTTGTTGGAAAAAATTACGTTACGAAACAAATGAGACCACATTTACTCCGAGACCAGCCAAGTGTAGGTCAGACACAAAGCCCCAAAGTTGAGACCGAGGTTATGATTATACGCTGCTTGGTCAGCTCTATCGCATACCACATGGGGCCGTAACAAATGTCTACTGAGCAACGGTGAAATGATGACGAGAAGGGGAAGGCCGAGGCACTCGCAGCAAAACCTGTTCCAGTGCCACTTCGTCCGCCACGAACCTCACTTGGACTGAACCCGGATACCCACGGTGAAGCACCACCATCTAGCCACCAGAGCTATGGCACAGCCAGTCACACTTGGCCTCCACTGGTATATATTCAAATGAATATTCATAACTCGAAAATTTTTAAAATAAATTCCATCTTCAAATGATCTTGCCTGCTATATGTCGTGTACAAATTTTTGTACGATACGCAGTTTATGACAATACAGTTAACTTGTTCAGTGTGCGGAATTCGAACTGGGTACTTCCATAACGCGAGTCAGACAAGTCACCGTCTCGTTGACCTACTCAGTGGCTGGAATTCCCACCGATAACTCCCTTTCGAATTAGAGTCAGACCACGGCTATGCCAAATCTGTGGTCTGTCCTGAGATTCGAAACTATCGTTTCAATTCCTGCCCTGCTTCCTGCAAGGCAAAAGAGTAAAAACGCGCAGAGAGCTCTGGGTTTCCCAGGTCTCGGAGACACGCCGGCCGTACCGCTCCATTTGTCTACATGTAGCCTTGGACAATAGCACTGCCGCTGTCCGCATGACCAGCTCTAACGGCATTGTAAACTATGAAGCATTACCGGACACCACAAAATAGCAGAATAAAGGAATGCATATACATTTTGAGAAAGCAGCCTTTGGTCTGTACACCAAATTGGGCATGCTGAGTTTATTTCATCCTTAAACGAAAAGAAAATCCAAAGTGATTCATCTGTGGTTCGAATAACTGAATCTGGCATTAGACAAACGATAAATACAACAAACGTAGGACAATCGTGTGGCAAAGTAAGGTACAGTCGTCCCTGGTACTTGTTAGCACCGCGCCATGAAGACGTAGGGGCAGTAGAGGTATAACCACCCTCTTTCTTGATCATGGCACTAGAGAGAAGTGAGTTGAGTTTTGTATCCTGACCAAAACGTCCTCATACACAAGCGGCAGACCCACTGTAAATAAATCTGACCATCGGAAAGACTAACTGTTTTTTCCTTCCCCGTAATCAGGGTTCCAGCGGCAAAACGTCTTCTTTGGAACTAGCGAACTGTCTGTCCCCTGACTAAGATATCAATATTATACAGCTAATATATGAAAACGATGAGCCCAATGTAAGGGAATTTGACTAGATCTAAAAACAGGTTCACTGTAAGAAAAGTGGAGCATATTAACAATTAAAAGCCAGGTGGTAACTATGTGTAACACCTACGTTAATAATCAAGTCTGCATTTAGGCTACAGATACATTCTTAACCTGGATACTGAAAGCATTTAAATAGTCTTCATGCTTCGGCCGCCTTATCCCCCCCCCCAGTATCCACAGATATGAAGATTAACTGATAAAGTAATGCAGCCCAAGTTAATTTATATGGCAGCATTTACAAACAAGCAATCCGGCTGAACCTCATGAACCACAAAATCCACACCTGATCGCACTGCAACCATAGTATGCATGAGTGCGGGAAACGTAGGGGGCCACCCAGCTCACTACCGCCATCTGCCGATCGCTGCTCCCGCAAGATGGAGCTGTGCGTGCGGCCAGTCTGTGCATACACCTGCAGTGACCTGTGAAAATGGGAGAACCATTTCAAAAGTGTGTAAAAGAAAACGCCTTTTGTCTAATGGAAAATAAAATAATTTAATTTTAAATCATGAATTATTACAAAGATGTGAAAGTGTACGCTTCCTTTACGATTCTGTATGTATCATTAGCCTTGATTTTCATTTACGCAGACAAAAATCTTATGTTGAAACATAATGCAGAGTCAGAAATTACTCTTATTTATACTTTAGAAAATCCATAACACTTAAATATGTTTAAAATAAAATTGTGAACCTTAATAAGACGTATTTTATTTTATGTGCCGAATTATTTTACGATAAACCACATTTCTAAAAGACTAATGCGTTCAGTTTGAGCTTTAAAAAAGCATGTTCTATACCGGACCAAACAAACTAAAATTACTTTCGGGGAACACATTTTAGTGTAAACGCCCAATACCAAGTTTCTTCGAAAATCCATTGTCTTTTTTATATGAAACATAATGGATAAGCCAAAAAATCCCGTTTTTGTGCACAGAACAAAATTTCAACGATGAGCTCAACACATAACCGGCGTGGGGAAAACACACTCGGAAGATCAATGAGATGTTAGCATAATTTTGAAACGAATATTCCAGAAATACAGGCCTATTCTGAAAACGGGAACTGGATAAAACTGTCTTAGGACTAAATCCCATGGCAAACCAATACGATCCGCCACTGACATACTCTGTAATGAAGGACACCACAAAGAAATGTGAATGCATTTTTCCACCCACACAGAGTAGCAATTAAGTAGGAGTGTCTGGGAAAAACTGCTTCGAGTACCATATGGCGCCATTAATTGTGCAATGACTTTCACTTGGCACACGTCCCGACATCGAACTTGGTTCGTCGTGAATCACGGCGAAGTTAAAATTCTCAGTATACAGCATACGAGGTGCGATCAGAAAGTTTCAAGACTGTGTCAATAGAGGGCGAACCGGATGTAGTACGAGCTTATGCCTTTAGGGGGTGCGGCCTACATTCATAGTGAATCAGTGTGCCAGCCGGCATCATCGAATTAGCATTTGTTTCTTAGTTACGGGCGTTTTGGTAGTGCATTACACCGACCCTCCTGCGATTTCGGAATGGCGTGTGCATCAAATTTTGCCAAAGACTCGCCAAAACGGCTACGGAAACCTATGAAATGCTAAAGCAAGCATTTTGGGAGTCCGCAATGGGTCGTGCACAAACTTTTGTGTGGCATTCACGTTTTAAAAATGGCCGAACCTCTGTCGATGATGATGAGCGTTCTGGACGACCATCTTCGAGCACAACGCCCGAAACTGTTACGAAGATCGACGTCGTACCATCAACGACTTGTGCGACATTTTTGGGATAGGCTATGGGACCTGTCAGCTGATTCTAAAGGAAGAACTCCACATGCGACGCATCCTGTCAGAGGACTAGAAGCAGAATCGACTTCTCGTTTGTCAGGAGCTGAAAGATCTTGCAAGAACCGACCCCACCTTCCTTTCTAAGCTCCGTGTGACTTCTTCCTCTTCCCAAAGAAGAAAATTCAGGTAAAGGGAAGGAGATTTGAGACGATAGAAGAGATTCAGGCAGAATCGCAGATGGTGCTTGACAGGCTGACAAAGAAAGATTTCCAGGGATGCTTCCAGGCTTGGCAGCGGCGCTGGGATCGTTGTGTTCACTCCCAGGGGAACTACTTCGAAGGTGATGGATGAATTGAATACCTGAGATAAGTGTACGGGTTTTTATAGGCGCAGTCTGGAAACCTTTCGATCGCACCTCGTACAGCGGCGGTTCGTCACTTCAGTCCAGCCAAAGTGACAGGACTTAAAAAAGTGCCCACAGTATGCACATAGTTTATTACTATTACTGCCTACCAAATGAAGTGGAATGGCTGGAAAGAGGGCCAGAAAGTGCGTCTCTCTTCAGTGTCAATAAATATCGAAACAAGTGACAGATCATTCATGGGCTCGTCTTATTTGCTGTCATAATAGATCTAAACAGTGTGTGTTGTTATTTATGTTCTCATTTGTAACTGACTGCATATCTTATTTACACTTACGTATGCCACTTGGTCATAGATTTCGAAGCCTCAAGAGCAAATCAGAAGTCAGTCAATCACTCAGACTACGTAGCATAATTGTTTAATTTGTAGTTCTAAGCGTTACTACCCCTTGCACTCTTTTTAAAAAGGCTTTATGTATAAAAACCTTCAGTTATATCTGTAACTATGAATTCCAGTACTTTTAAAGTAAATCTCAGCCCGCAGGCCGGCTGGCTACCTTGACTAAGGATTTTCGTTGTGCCCTCAGACCTTCCAGGCAAATAGTATCTTAAATTAAGCCACAACCGCTTCCTTTCACATCCTTTCCAATTCATTAATCACCCTACCACTTTATGCTGTACAGTTTCAGCCACTGACATCGTCCCTAAATAAAATAGACCGGCATCACAGACTATCTGGCTCATTTAACTACGTTTTTTCAACTACACAGATTATTAGCATCAAATGGTAGC